TCTCCAGAGAGTTTCTGTTTTTTTTGTTTTGTTTTCTTTCTTTTTTTTTTTTTTTTTTTTGAGACAGGGTCTCTGTAGCCCTGGATGTCCTGGAACTCACTCAGTAGACCAGGCTGGCCTCGAACTCACAGAGATCTGCCTGTCTCTGGGATGAAAGGTGTGCACCACCACCTTCTGGCTTGTTGAGAGCTTTACAGACACGGGGCTATCCCTAAAGCACCATGGGCCCAGGCACTGTCCTTCTACAGATTACCCCCCCTCCCCATGCAATTCTTATTCACAGCTAAGATTAGCACACAGATTGGGGCAATTAAAAGCAAAAATATTAAATCAATACATTAGAGTTGACTCATGTCTTGAGCCAAATATGGTGTTGCCTCAATGTCATTTGTTTTAAAGCCACCAGCATATTTGGCTGCTGTGACTTTTAAATGCAAACATTTTCAGAATAGCGAAGCCCGTTCATTGGCCATTACCAACCTACTTTTCGGGTGCTATACTGTTTTCATCTTATGGAACTTAAGGCCTTCAACAACTCCCTGCATTTTTATTCCTTCACTTTTCATGGCTCTTGTTTTCTTTTGGTCAGACAAGAATTCCCTGCCTTGGCTGAAGGAAAGCAATGTATTATGTAAAGGTCAGATTGATAACATGGGATTAAACATGTTATTTTATATGAAACGACTTTCTGTAGATTTAAAGTGTGTGTTTCCCGGCAGAGAGAGTCACATTATCTAGTAACACGTGTACAGTTAATATATGCTTCTCTTCAAATTGTATCTACTTAAGTAGTTAAGGGTCATATTGCTTACTAAGTCCAATGTCAACACTTGGTCCTGGAGGAGACATTTAATTGAGAATTACTTCTCATAGACATCTGAGTTTTGTTTGAACCATTTCAAATTTCAGAATCTTATTCTAATCACATGAATGATTTTAAGAAAGACTACAGCATACTATCTTTTTTTTCCTATAAAAATTGGGCCATTCCTATTTTAAATAAACCAGAGATATTTAAGATACTAAAATACGCTTGTTCTTCTGATATGCAGACTTTTTTCATCTGTATGCATTTCCAAGGGGGAACTAAGTGGGTATTATTTCTTTCTTGTCGAGCCCCTTTCAACCGTAATGTTCCAGGAAGCCAGCTGGCTAGCTCTGTGATATCCGATCACTCTCCAAGACAACTCTTCTTAAGGCTCAGCATTTTGATCAAGACAGGAGTCGTGAATTCTCTTCTTCCTAAAGACACACATATCCTTTACAAGGGGCCAGATTATTTCCTGCAAAACTGCCTTTGTCATATGAATGTCTATTTGAGTTACTACCAAAAAGGCTGGGGCAAGAAATCTATCCTTCCACAGCGGGGAAAAAAACAAAAAACAAAAACAAAAGCACCCTCAACTTGAACACCAGCAAGATTTTACACACACACACACGCACACACACACAGAGAGAGAGAGAGAGAGAGAGAGAGAGAGAGAGAGAGAGAGAGAGAGAAACCAGAGGTAGCATTTTAAATTAAAAACATTGATTCCAAAGGTAAAATCTTCCGTATGGTTTCTTTAAGTCTTTTCTTTCTTGATGCTAATATTTGGTGAAACAAGCAGAGGAGGGCTTGAGCGAACGTTCTGAGTTTCAACTCCTTTATAAACTCAGAGGGAGATTTGTCTCTCAGGTGGCTAGTCATGCAGACTAATAATACGTTTGCAATTTACATCTGGTCACTCGACATTATCGTTCCTTCAGGATAATTAGGGAAAATCTCCATCACTTCCAGCAACTCCCACCCTGTGGGAACTACTTCTCTCTTCGGAAGTCCTCACTCTTCCTGACCTTAGATTTTCCCATCCAGCTCAGTCTGGGCCCAGGCGGTTGGCGATGCCCCTGCTGGGTGCCGACTGCAGACCTACCACTGGAGGGCGTCTGGACGCTTCCAAATTTCTTCGAAGAGCCGGGAAACCCAGGGCTCGAGATTTGGAAGGCGCAGGACAGATAATATGATATTTGATTTTATTTGTCTAATATGTAAAAGGGAAAAGACGCAGTATTGAGAGAGAAAGAAAAAAAAAGGAACTGCCTTTTTTTTCTTGGGTTTGGCCTTCTTACCAGGTTGTATACACTGAAGAACAAAATAAAAAGCCTGGGGCTGCAGGTCCCGCAGCGCCGAATGTGGGGCTCGCTGCCAGGACGCAGGACCACAGGGGACCCGTCCCGGGGCGCCCCGCTTCCAGGAGGTCCAGTTAGGCTGGTCTCAAAAGACCGGGCCGAGGCAACCTCCAGACAGTCCAGAAATTCATGGCCTTTTTCAGTAATAAAGGCGTTTCCTTGACTCCTATTTCCCTCCCTTTCTTCTCATAAGGAGTTTAGTTCAAGATATTTATGTGGGGTGTGCGTAGCAACCCAGCCCCAGGATCTGCATGGAAAAGGCGTAACGAACGTACTGAGGGGCTCCCGCGCTGCATCAGCTCCTTCCAGGTAAAGGTTCGCTCTGAATTGTAATCGCTTTAAACTGAGATCCCACCCCGACCCCCGTCTTTTCAAATCGCGCTTTCAGAGCATCATGTTAAAGAAAAGTCCCATTTCCTGCCCCCAAGCCTGTAAATCTCGGGTAGGAAGAAGGCGTTGAGAGGCACGAGAGAGATGCTCAGATTTCCAGATGACCCAGCGCCGGGTAATGTGTGGCGGGCAGAACCGAGTTTAGGTTTATCCGAACCCGGATTCACTTAAGGCTCCTCCAGCCTGGCCGTGTAGACTTCATGTCACCTGAGCAGTCCCAGAGGTAGTTTTTGGCTCTCCTTTTGGAGTGGGGAACCAGTTTCTTTTCAATGGAAAGACACCCCTCAGCCCATTCCCAAGTAAAAAGATGCCAAATCACTCTTGAGTCCGGACGCACTTCAGCAACCAAAGGGTTACACGTGCAGCCGGGCTGGGCCAAGGAGAGGGTGCCTGGGCACTCTCAGTAATTCAATTAGTCAGGTTTCAGGAAGGTGGGGCGGGGTGGGGGTGGAGGCGAGGGGAGGGAGGAGATTAGGAAAACGCCTCTTTCTCGGGGAGCAAACCAATCCGGTTAGAGAAAAGAGAGAGGAAAAACCCCGATCTGTAAGCAAACAGCAGGCCTCTCCCTGACTGGTTACTCCAATCACCCCCCCCCCCCTTCACAAGTAAACTGCTTGGAAGGAGGGAGGGGGGGGGACTAGAAAAAAAAAAGCAACCCACATGACCTGGGCCGCGGAGGAGGCAGCACTGGCGGCGCCACCCCCCTGCTCGGTCCGGTGCTCACACCCGCGCTCGCCCGCCTGCCAACCCAGCGCCCCGCGCAACACGCCCGGGCGGAGCCCCCCCCCCCGCCCACGTCCACGTTCACGCGCGCGGCCTCGCGTCGTGCTGAGGCTGCTGCCGCTTGGGCCGCCGCGGCAGTCGGCTTTACACGCAGGTCATTAACGAGGGGGCGTGCCCGAGGAGATTTTTTTTCCCATAAAGCATTTTTTTCCTCTCTCTCTTTTTTTCCCTCCTCTTTTGCAAAACTGACTTTTACCCCTTTCTACTTCTCGCCAGTCCTCCAACCTCTCCAGGCTGCTCGCGCTGCTGCACTCAAGTTTATTTTCCCGCCTGGGCAGAGGCTTTGGAGATTCGGTTGGTGGCTTTCACCTCTCGTTACTGCTGTGCCTAAGGAGGGAAAGAGGAGGCAGCTTCAGATCGGGGAAGGTTTTCTGCTGTAGTCACCGGGGAGGTGCCACCAGCTCGTGCCGTTCTCTCTCTCTCTCTCTCTCTCTCTCTCTCTCTCTCTCTCTCTCTCTCTCTCTCTTCCCCGGTTGCAAACTGATTGATGAATCTCTACAAGTTGCTGGGTTTGGGGCCGGACCGGTCGGAGTCACAGGGACACTTTTGAGAGCTCACCCCGGGGCTCTTGGCACGCGGTGTGGGGGGCTCAGGCTCGCTCCCGGAAGGCGATCGGAGACTGACATCAGCTCATCCCGGACTCGGAGGGCTCGGTTGGAAAGTGATTGTTTCCCCTCCCGCTTTCCAGCATAGCAGTTGGGTTGGCGTCGCCCTGCAGGTCTGGGCATCCCAGCCCCGCCTGGCTGGTTCACAACCTCTGCTCTTCATTCACGGCTGCACCCACAGCCGGCCAAGAAAAGCAAGCCGGAGAAATTCCCGACTCAGCCAGCGCCCGGGGGTGCCATCTCTCTTCGCCTCTGCGGTCGGACTCCTCTGGGGACCTGCTGGAAGACGGGGAGAGCCAAACTTTTCTTTGAGGTTTTTCGAGGCAAGCCCGCTCTTCCTCTCCTCGCCTCAGCAGCTGCGGCTTTAGGCTCTTCCAGGACGCCGACGGAGCCGGGCTTGCGGATCCGGATCCCCACCCTTCTCTGCGCACCTCCGGGTACCGCAGTACCTAGGACTCCAGCGAGCCTTGCGGGGGTCGCCGGGGCAAGACAGAGAGGGAAGCTCCGGGCAGCGTCCAGACTCTTGGGGCCACAAGCGTGAAGAACCCCCCTCCACCCCCTCCCCGCACCGCCCTCGTCCACACAGCGCCCTCCTCCCGCAGTTTCTCTCCGGCCGCCAAAGTAACTTGGAGCAAAGCGGGGCGCACAGCGAGGGCCCAGGGCAGCGGAGGAACCCTGCGTAGACCGCGGCGCCGACGCTGAGCCGGGCCCGGCGGGCCGGTGTATGTCTCCCCGAGGCCGCGGCGCTCAACTCCCGGTGACTGTGCAGCGTGCGCCGCCGCCTGCCCTGACCCGCGCTGCCGCCGCCCGGCCCCGCACGCACCTCCCTCTCCCGGGGTGACCGGCCTGCAGCCGCCGCCCGAGACACAGCTCTGCACCCCTTCCCCCGCCCTCGCCGCCGCCACCGCACATACGCACGCGTCTCTCCGTCTTGTGATTCTTCTCCCCTCCCGAGCCCTTCAGGGGGGGTGCGAGTTTGTCCCCCTCTCCCACCGCAACCCACTGCCTTCTTTTCTTCTCGCCCTCCTCCTCCCGCGCTCGCCGCGCTTCTCTCGCCCCATCATTTTATTTATTCATATTTATTTGGCGTCCGGTCTGGTCTCTTCTTTCTACCCCTCTTCCTCCCTCCCTCTGGATCCCCGCTCTCTCCCCGGAGTGGCGCGTCGGGGGCTCCGCCGCTGGCCAGGCGTGATGTTGCACGTGGAGATGTTGACGCTGCTGTTTCTGGTGCTCTGGATGTGTGTGTTCAGCCAGGACCCGGGTTCCAAAGTCGTCGCCGACCGCTACGCTGTCTACTGGAACAGCAGCAACCCCAGGTAAGGTGGCCGGGGTGGGGGCGCCGAGAGCTCCGGCTCCGCGGGCCTGGGCCGGGAGCGGGGAGCAGCGGTGGCCGGGAGCGGCGCGCACCAGCCGCAGGCAGCGCGCGCCCTAGGAGCCTGCCTGCGTCGCCTGTCGCTGCTGGCTGCTGGCTGCCGGGCGCCGGCGGGAAGCGCTCGCTCCGCGCCGCTCTTTGTTAAGCTACGGCCGCAGGACCGGCTGGCTGCTGCTTGGAATCTCCTGGGCTGTGCGGAGCCGCTGCCTCCGAGGGGGTGCGGGGAAAGGGACGAAAATGGGCGGGAGCCGGGAACCAGCGACTTCGCTTGCAAGCCGGGGAGACTGGCTTGCACCTCCGGATCCCGGCTTAGGGCATGGGTCTGGGAAAAGCTCTGGGTGCGTATCGGCGAGAGTTTGCTCCTGGAGCCTGCTGGGCCCGGGGAACCAGCTAAACATCTAAGTGGCTTTTTTTTTTTTTTTTTTGCTTGTGTTTGTTTGTAATTTAAACATAATTCCTCCTTTTCCCCCTGTGCGCGCCCAGAGCGCACGGTTAGGGGAAGCGAAGGGGGGGGGGGTCGTGTGTTGATGGAAAGCGGAAGCTTTAGGTTTTAATGTTCTTTTTAACTGAGAGAAAACTGTTCGTTGAACCCCCCAACCCGAGTCGGTCTAAGGCCCAGCACGCTTGGCGGTGGAAAGGATTCTCCTAGCTCGGGCACCCTCCTTTCCCCCGGTGGGCTTAAGGTGCCAGAAAGTTTGATCGAAAGCCGGGTTACGTCACGAGTGCTGAGCGAGCTGCTGGAGTTGGCGAGCCGGAAGGTGGGAGCCTTCGCCCCAGGGCCTGGCGCTGCGCAGCTGGAGGGACGCGCGGTTACCTGGAACTGAGTGCCCGCGACCCCGAAGCCCGCGGGCTACGCGGGAGGCTGGAGGCGGGTTCCGGGGACTGCCCCAGCGCACGTGCTGGGCCCCAGCCAGCCGCAGCCACCCTGCGTTTCTGGACCCTGGAGAGGGGAGGAGGGTCGTCTCAAGCACCAGGCAGACCCTTTCGGGTCCGGAGCATTTCCAGACCGTACTTTCTCCCGGATCTGGACCAGCAATCGGGCCCGCTGGGCCCACTTCGCTCAGCTTCCTGCTGTGGGCTGGTGCTGGTGTTGTCCTGGGAGGGAAGCAGTATCGCTTGTACCTAGGATCATAGGTTTTTCTCTGAGCCGAAGTGGAAGTTGCGAGAAAAGAGGCGGGAGGCCGAGGGCTGAGCCTGTGGTTGTGGCGCATCTACTGCTCTGGACTAGGGGGCCGGCGGACACCTCCAACCCAGTTTCCCACCAGCCCTTTCTAGCGCCTCCAGCTTGCCCTCCGTGTGAATTCGCGAGGATTCCCAGCTTGACTGGGGTCAGCTGGGATGAAGAGCTGATTTCTCCAGGAACGCTCTAAGGGTTGCCCAGCCTAGGAAGAATCCGCCCCGCCCTGTTCCTTCAGCCCAGTCACACCCAGGTAGCCTTAAGTCCTAAGTGCCCGCCTAGCACAAGTGGAGACATCACTGAAAGTTTGCGTTTTTAATCAAAAGGGTGTTATGGGGGTGGGAATTAGAATGGGAAACTATTTCCTCTTTGACACGCCACTAACTACTATTAGGGAAAGAGAAAGAGACGACTGTGCTGAAGAATCTGCCTTTTATTAAAGCCGACAAGACAAATAGAGCAAGCTTTCCAGTTACGATGGTGTTAAGAGCAAGTCTAGGGTCTAATTATGTTGCTTGGCGTAGTCCTCTCTGGACTTTATTGGGAAGCGAGTATGGAACAACAGCTTGTATTTTTAAACTTAAGTGCTTAATCTATAGGGTCAGTTGTTTGAATTTGAGACAGTTGGCTCTTGTTTGCCACTTAAAAACTCAGTGAGATCTTTTTGCCCCGGTATTCATTCATTAGAAAGGTGGGCATTCCAGTTTGCCCTGGGTTTTAGCAGAAGGAAGCATCAAAATGTCTGATCTGCCACCCCCACGCCTGTCAAGTTAGGCTCAGTAAGTTGCAGGACATTTTATCTCAGTTTTAGTCTTTTGATACCATTGTTTAGTTTGAGATTAGCAAATTGATTTTTGTCATAGGTCATTTTTTTTTAAATAAATCTGGCCTTCCTAAAGAAAACTCTTTCTCTCAGGATACCACGGTGGCTTTGAACCTTCTCTAAGTTAGAATCTGTAGACTTTTTTTTTTTTTTAAATACCAGGAGTAGATCTTAAACTAGCATGCTAATTTGAACACTGCGGAAAATGTCTCCCTATTTGATTATTAGCAATTTGATGACATTCCAAAAAAGAGTCAGGGACCTTTCTCAGATCCAACGTTTTATAGTCTTAGGGATATACGGAGGCATTTATTGTGGTATGTTGTTAAATTAAAACTTACTTTAAAGATAGGTAGTTGTAGGTAGTTTTAATTCAGCTTTATTGAGCGAAGTGTACTTTTTATACATTAGGAAAAGTCAGTTTTCTGTAACCCAAGGGGGTAAATGAAAAACAAGTAATTTCAAAGTAAAAACCAGTTCTTTGTCCCAGGGATAGAAAACATGTCATAGAATCTGTATGGATTTATTCAGTATTACAAATTGAATGTTGTATATTTCCTTTTCATATACATTATGATTTTGTAAAGTAAGTTAGCCCCGACTTTTGGTCTTCTCTAGGTGAGTCAAGATTTTGCTGGATCAGTAAAGCAATAAACAGACTTCAGCCTTTGGAAAAATAAGTAGACTGTATTACTTGCAATTTAAATTCTATTTTAACTTAAAAGTTCAGTGAGCACATTAAACTGATAAGAATGAGTAGTTTCTGTAAACAAAGTAAATATATTTTAACTTCTGTTAGATTCTGCTTGAGGCTGTGTTTGTTTAGGTTGAAATAAAATTAAATATATCTTGGCCATAAGCATAGGCAGCTCACTCTGTAGCATTACTTGAAGTAACTTCTGAGGCACATAGAATTTTGTCTACCTTATGGAGTATCTTCCCTGACTTGGCGTTGGTTATAGGAAAATATCAATTCATGTCCTGTCAGCATAGGTCTACGGCTAGAGATCCTCTCCGTGCTCCTCACTCCTGGGAAATGGATGTTCAGCTTTTAAACGTTGCTAACTTTTTAGTTGCCAGTATTTATTAGGCAGTGAACCCAATTGATTTTATGCATCAAATTGGCACAAATCTGTGCAATAGCAACTGATAAATATCAGTCTGAATAGAAGTACTATATCACGTTTGCCTAACTGCATCCTTCACGTTTCTCGGTTGTGAAGCCTTGCTGGAGTTTTACCTAAGAGTGTAGACAATCCTCTTTACTATGAAACTGCATTCTAGCTGGACAGTAAGGGAGTGATTTGCCCAATGAGAATCTAACTCAAAGAGAGTATACCTATTTGCTTTGACTTAAAACTGCAGAAAGATTTTAAGGAACTTTTGAAGATCGCTTACAATAATAAAACTTTATTTGCATCGCCCCCCCCCCTCTTGGTAGCTATGCTTATACAAATAGACACGACTTCATATTAAGAACACGTCCATTAACCTGAAGATTGCTGCAAACAGTTCAAAGCTCGCAACAACTATTCTTTTAAACACCGTGTGTATAGTGAACGTTGCTCTTTAGTTTCTCCATTTGCCAAAGTGATGCTGGAGTCATTAAATATGTCTTCTGATCTGTATTGTAGGTAAGGGAGTTAAAAAAAAGAGAGAGACAGTTGCAAATATAGCAGATACAGCTCTTCTCAATCTGTGTTTTGCTTCTGCTAAGGTATGAATATTATTACTTTAAGAGTTTATTCTCTTCTGTTAAGTGTGTTAGGTTTCACTAAACACAATCTAGTTTTCTTTTTCCTTTGCATCCTTTCATTTCTGTAGGAACTAGAAGCTTGTCGCCTACGAGCAGTAGCTCACTTGCGTTGTTTGGCTGTGTTTTCATCTGGAGTTCTGAAAGTGACCGGAGTTGTGGGCTAGCAGCCCTGAGTGTTTCTGAAGCTGAGGGACCCATGCACACAGCCAAGGAGGGCGAAGTGCTAATATTTTTCTAAGAATATCCCCTTGGGTATTTGTCTTTCCAAATTCAGTGGTTCGTTTTAAAAACATCCGAGCCATCGTCAGTTTGGTCATGGATGCCAGAACCCTGGCACTGTGCTTTTTTCATTGACAAGGAAAGGAAATCATCACCGTTTAAATCTGGGCATGAGGAGTGAAGGGAGAGGGCAGAGTCATCTTTGTGTCCAGTGGGGTCTGTGATTGAATCTGTAAAGGATTTCCTTTACTTCTTGAAGTTTCATATTTTTAAAGTGATGTCTTTATATGTTCAAAACACATTAAAAATGGTATCATACGAAATCAAACTCTTGAGTTTCAGTGCCATGTAATGTTATCATTTTTATTAGCTATATTGGGATAAGTTTATCGTTTTGATATTTATATCAGAGTTACATAAGTACTCTACATTAGATGGGTAACTCATGTCCGTATGTGTGTCCATTTATAGATCTGCGGTCTACACCACCCTCCCTTCCTCTCTCCTTCAGATACAGACATTTGCAGAAGTCCTCGTCTTGGTTTTTGGCCTGCCTTTCCTGGAGTTTAACAGAGCGAGATTAGCTGCTGAGTTTATTATTCCCCAGCCATGATGTGCATTATTTTAAGTTATAGCAAGCTAGCAGAAAGCATATCCTGCCTGCTTCTAAGGTGACTGACACACCAGTGCTGTGTGAGGCTGCTGTCCGGGCTCATTCAGCCTTTTCAGTATGAGACCAGTATCAAGAAACTGAGTAGTCCACGCTCTCAGAGCCAGCTGTTAGGAGTTCCCTTCTTCCGTGGTGTGACTTGAGAGGTATTAGCCAGGTTTATTCTGTGCCTGATACACAATAGCGCTGGAGCTCTCTGCCTGTGACAATAGGGGCAGTAGGGGCAGGTTTAGATGGAACACTTAGCTTTTGGGGGCAGATTCGCTTCCTGAGTTTTCTGCTGTTTAATCTTGCAAAGT